AATGTCATATCATGTGAGCTTTTTATCTTCCCTCAAACCCAGCTCGACATTCGGGAATGTTATTATGTGTCAGAAGAGGGCTTAGGAAATAATAAAAAAAATAAAAAAATAAACTAACCTCAGTTAAGTAAAATAAAATTGTTAATAAAACCTTTGGAATTGTAATGATTTATTTTTTAAAAACAAAACGTTTTGTTTAAAAAACTTTTTTAAAATTAAATAACTAATTTTTGTCTCGTGAACTTAAAACGTTATTTGCCAAACATAAACTTTTATTTGCACACATCAGAAATCTTTTGTTGTGATTTTAGGCCCCGCCCACGACGTCATGTGAGAATCACAAGCAAAACTTTGAGTCACAAACAAAAACTTAGAATAGCAAGAAAAGATTTCTGACATGCACAAATAAGTTTGTTTTGCAAAAAAAAATTCACTTCATGAGACAAATGTGTGATTTAAGTGTTTAAAAAAGTTTAAAGCAAAACTCAGGCTTTTCCCATAGTGACATGCATTAACAATTCAATTTTTGCTTTTGTTTTTTTTTTTCTTTTTTTCTGCAGTTCCACCTTAAAGTTTGCTGCAGCTCTGCTTTCCTGAATGGACCATCTTCATCTCCACTGCAAGCGTAGCAAACAGGCAGCTCTTTTTTTATAGATTACAGTACACCAAAAGGTTGCTTTGTGCCCTTGTTTATATTTTTAATAGTGTAATTCTGTAAAGACAAAATATGTAGGTTAGGTTAAACCACCAGCTCTGATTTACATATCTTGCTAAATTGCGGGTTTTAATATTGCAATACTTTCCTGTAACAAAATAGACCTGCAGAAAGAAATTACTGATAAATTATCTTACATATGCATAGTTATATGCTCTATGTAGAGATTTTCCTGAGCTTTGATTGTATATCTCAGAATTTTATAATTTATCATCTTTTATTAAACTCTGAAAGCTGATAGGCTTTGTTAATATTCTGTCCTAGAATGCGGTGAGATGTGGCCTTGTTTTTGTTGAGCACCTGCCCCTTTACTGGTCTCTGCACGGCCCGGCAAAGCATGACCTAAAACACCACCCAGTCTGGCTTCATCTGAACATCTATGGGACCAAACATCAGAGAAGCCCAGTCGGCCAATCACAGAGCGGCTCCAGGCTGAGGCCACACCCCCAGCGCTGTATAAGAGGAGCTGACCTGCAGCCAGAGCTGCACAACCTCTACCTTCCCAGAAAAACCAGATCCAGATCCGATTCCTGATGGTGGTGGAGGTGAAGAGCCGCATGGAGGCGACGGAGGCGAACCAGCAGAGGGTGGAGACCAACATCCTGCTGCTGGGAGCGCACAGCGTGGGCAAAACCGGTGAGAAAACGTCATTTATGCTTCTGTTACAGAACATCTTCCATTAAAATTAACATCTTACAACAGTTTAAAGGTTAAAAGATGATTTTACTGTAAGATTTTGTTCTTTGTAAGCATAAAACCTAAAACTGAAGTGTTTTTTAAAAATCATTTTTAATGTTTCTCCTTTTTTTCAGCTCTAACTGTCAGATTTCTGACCAGACGATTCATTGGAGAATACGGAGATGTTAGATATTTTTGGTATTATCATTATTACTTTAGTTCATATTCAGTCTAATGTTAATCAGTATTATTGTGATTTTCTGTTTAAAGTGTTCTCTTCCTTATGTGTGTATAAACTGACCTGGAGGTTACGACTGCCTGTTTCATCTTTATGTGGGGCAGTTAACTCTGTGTTTCCCAGGCCTTAATTCTTATAAACCAGAATACCTCCCAACTGCCTGTGAGCAGTCGTATTTTGTCTCTTGTTTATCCTCCCTCTTTGTTGACAGTTTGACCTAGAGCTGAACTGGGCTCAGATCGTAGATCAGATATCACACCCGGAACTGAGTTGCTGGTTTGTTTAGGTTAGAAGTTTTACGACTTTTGTTGTTCTTCCTGACTGCCCCTTTTGGTTGTTCTGCTTGACAATAAAACAGGGGCTCGCGTGGAAGGAGATCAGAACTTTCTGTGAACGGCTGATGGAAAGTTCTCCTTTTGCAAAAGCTTTGTCTATAAAATTCATATACGTTGTCTGTGGTCTTTTTATGTAGGTTCGAGAAAAATACCTATCAGGAGACATCGGTGAGACCTTCAGCTGATGTTTAGCACCAGTTCATATCTAGACTGTTTTTAATCCATTTCTGAGTTTATTTATGATCATCTAAACATTTGTTAATGTGCTTCCTGATTTTAGAGTCGATCTACAGCCGAGTCGACCGAGTCGATGGTCAGGAAATCTGCATCAACATCTGGGACTCACAGGTACGGCCTGGCTTAAAACAACATAAATGTCCAATAAAAAAATACTTTGATAGACATTTTATTGTGGATCTGTGGAGAGGCAGTGAGCAGTCAGTGTCTTACCTGCAGTATGAACTATGACTATTGTGATTTGCACACATTTACATTACAAATGTGCACAAATCTTTGTCTACATTTTGTTGATGTCGAAAAACACAATTTTGTGATTGCGATGTTTCTTTTAAATAAATTCAAATTATGTGTGAATAAGCTGTCAAACCAGAATAAGTCATTAAAAATCCTGGCATAATTCATAATTCAGCCGTGGCACAAACGCTCATTATCTTTCAACCAATCAGAGGAGACGTCAGTGTCTTATTCAGGTGTTGAAGCGACAAGCCCCGCCTACTAGGGAACAAAATTTTAGTGGGCTATTTTACAGAAGAGTTATGGATTCAAAACACCATGAAGAAGACGACTTCCTGTCATCTTCTTTGTTGTTTCCACCAGTAGTCGTGTCCGGCTGTTGATCATGTTTTTATACGCCTGAAAAACCACCTCTTCCCTGCGCAACAACTTGAGTCTTTTGAAATTTCATTAAGCAGATGTATTTTCATATTTTCCATTTCCGCAATTCTATGGTTGACAGAAACGCAGCTAGAGTCTAGGAATATTCAGGATGAGCACTCCGATTGAACAAATGTCTGGTTTCTCTTCAGGCTGGCGGGAAAAGCTGCTCCTTTAGTGACAAGCAGCTGCAGTGGGCTGACGGGATGGTCCTGGTCTACGACATCTGCGACCGCGCCAGCTTCGAGGTCGTCCGCCAGCAGCTGCAGCTGATCCGCCGCAGCAGGAAGATGTCGATGGCGCCTGTTGTCATCGTGGGAAACAAACGGGACCTGCAGCACCGCCGCAGCGTCTCTGGCGAGGAGGGATACCTGCTGGCTATGACGGAGCGCTGCGGCTTCTTCGAAGTGTCGGCGGCGGAGACGTACCACGGTGTGCTGCTGGTGTTCCACCGGCTGGTCGACCTGGTCAGGGAGACGCGGGCGCTGAGGAAGAGCATGGCGGGCGTCCGAGGCATCGTCCGGAGCGTGTCGGCGGTGTTCGGGAAGAAACGGGCCGAATGAACTCGCCACAGCCTTGTTTTTACCGGTTTGGGTGAAACGAAGGCGAGACTTCCTGTCCGAGTCCTTCTGAGGCGAGTCGAGCTAGAAAAGGTTGAAAGAACGATTCTTTGTCTGAAAGTGGAAGTTGGTGAAATAAGGAAGTTGGAAATAGAAGCGCGGATGGAGAAAGAGGCGGAGGTCGGTTGAAGTCCTTCAGAGGATGGAGACGCTGCTCCAGTCTGAGGACCGGCCGCTCGCTCTGCTAACAGCTCAAAATTCAGCTGCACAATAAATCTGATTTATTGGTGCTTGTTGTGTTTTGAGGAAACTGTCAATGAAAACAGACGGAGGACGGCCATGAGCCCTGCAGGCAGCAGGGGGCGCTAGATTCCAGTTGTTAAAAGGGTGGAAATGTTCTGTAACCTACAAGAATGTTGACGGATGCTGACTGCGATCAGCTGCAAATGTTTTCATGTTTATGTTGTAAAAATATGTTTAAACCATAAATAAAATCAGCTTCCCATCCAGAGCTGTGGATATGCTTTATTTCATCACTTCTTCTCTCAGCTACAAATATTTTATTCACACAGAAACATCATGTGTCTGTGACTAAAGACTGACATAATAAATAAAAAAATCCCAAATATTTAAGCATATAAAGTAGAAATGAATTTTAATTAATTCCACTAAGTTTCAATAAAAACAACCTGCTAATTTCTCCAGCATGTTTTATTTCAGTTCATCTTTAAACATCCTTCCACTCAGCAGAAACGGCTCAACCCCTTCCTCCCATCAGATTACACCTTTAATTTATTCAACTCAGTCCAAAATGTTTTAAACTTTAATATTTGGTTTAAAGGATATTTCATTTCTTAAAACTCTTACAAAGACTGCAGTTTTACAGAGGAATTATTAATCATTAACATAAAAGTGTTAAAGCCAGCGGTGGGCACACGTCCGCTAATCTGCCAATGCTAATAGCAGAGCTAAGTTTTAGCTTAGCACTTTTGCCAACATTTAGCACACTTTGCTTTGCCAAAATAGATTTTTATTAGCTGTTTTACAAACTGTCAGTGGATAAAGCTTGACATCCGAGTTGAGGTTTTGGTTATCGACTGCTAAGAAATAAAATACACATTGATGTTCATGCTCTTATTTTGAAATCTGTTTATACAGCAGTTCTGTTTCACATCCTCCTGTCCTGTCTTTTTTCCCCCAGTAACTTTATTATAAGCAAGAAACTTACAGGAATAAAATAAAATGAACAAGATCTACCCATAAATATCTAAAGGCATTGTAGAACATGTAAGGCATTTATAATTTGAATTGGATTTGGTGCTTTTGCTAAATACAGTTTCTGAAGTGCTTTACTGTTAGAACTAACTTTTCAGTTAGGGGTGCCCACCACAGGTTGGAGTTAAAGTAAAGCATAATGAATAAATACTGATGAATTCATAATAAAATTCAGACACAATGAATCCCAGAGGATCGGCTCGTCCCTCAAGCTTAAATTCTGCTTCTTTTGAAAAACAACCAAGATTTACGTTGTGATGGCTAAAGCTGCTGTTTGGATCTAGTTTTGAGATGTAGGAGGCGTCCCACCAGGCTGTGTACTCGGCCCACTTCTAACACTCAGATTCCATGATCCAGATAAACATTGTAGAGTAAAAGGGGATTACCACAGAGAGCCTCGATCGAGAAACTACACAGTCCTGTTGAAAATCCAGGTTTTATGAGCTTCAGCATTCAGTCTTCTTGGATTCAGAACTAATATCAGTTATAGTGAATAATAATCTAAGCTTTTCTAGTTACATTTTTCTGATATTTGCGTATTTTAGCTTTAGCCAGTTTGCAGAAATGTCACAAAATATCTCAAACCTTAAAGGAAACAAACAGTCAGGAGAAAAGAAATTCACAGTTTTACGTTTGACTCATCAACACCTGGATAGAAACTACGGAAGAGGATTAGGGCCAATGAAATACAAAAATAAATTTGACTTTTGACTCAGAATGTTGATGTTAAGGCAGCAACCAGATTCAATTAGAAGCAAGTAAAGCAGGAGGAGAATTTACTTTCTGTAGGAACATGTCAGATTTAAGTTTTATGTGGCTGATGAAAGCCGGAATTCTGAGAGTTGTGAGAAAAAAATCCCCTAAAGTTCAGAAGTCTGGGAAGATTCAGAGAGAGAAAAAAAGCAACAACAAAAAAAAAGAGACACGAAAAGAAAATTGATTTCTGAGAAAAAAAAATCCCCTTGTCAGTATTTTGAGGAAAATAAAGTCATATTATTTCTCTTGTTTTTCAGTGGCCTTAATCCTCTTCAGCGAGGAACTGTTGAGGGAAGATGCCAAATGAAATGCATGATGACAAAAAACATTTCTGCTGTAGAAAACATCTAAGCTGGGCTAAAATCTCCCAAATTTTAACGGAGTACCAAGTTTCTGTTCTGAGGAAACTAGAAGTAGAACTTGGTGGTGGCAGCATCATGATGTGGGACTGCTATTCTTCTTCGTGGACAGTCAGTTTGAATCCAAGCCTTCAGGTGTCAGGCTAGAGAGATGAAGTCGCAAGATTAAGAAAATGGCGTTGATAATATTTCTGCATCATAAAGAACCTGCGCTTCAGCAGGACTGTGTACTTTCTACCTCCGCTGTGCAGAGAAAAGCTCTGTGATCGGATATTTCCGGGGTTTCTCTCGGTGAACAGGTTTGTGTGAAGCAGAATTGCAGCATCAGTGACTGAGCGCTAATTTGGTGACGCCTCTGCGGTTCAGCACGAACGCACAAACCAGCACCAGCCGAGGCAGAGACGTGTCATCGTCGTGGGATGCGGGGGGGCGCCATGGCGCATCGGGAGGCGGACGTGGCTGACGTGGCTGAGTCACTTCGAACCGCAGGCGGTGGGTGTTTAAGAGTCGTCTGTTTCCGTGACGATGGCGGCACCGTCGCTGGAGTTGGGGCTCAGGTACTCCAAGGCCTTCTGGCTCTGGGCCACGAACTGTTTGAGCGGCGTGAGCAGCAGCTCGGTGGCGGACGGTCGTCGGAGGGCGTTGCCTTCGGAAGGGTGGGCCGCCCCGTCCGTCTCCGGGGTGGAAGGCTCCTTGGTGCTGGAGCGCCGCCCGTTGGGTGGGTCGGGACTTTGGGGGCCACCAGCAGCCCGGGTGGCGCGGGAGTAGATGCTGCGACGGCGGCGAGGGCGGCCGTCCATTGCCTTGAGGAAGAGGCTGTTAGCCGAGCTACGGCGCGATGAGCTGTCTGAGAAATCCTCCTTGTTCAGGAAGTCCTCCACCTGCTGAGGCGACGGCTGCTCCAGCTGGGACACACAGAACAGGAATTAATGCTACACGACCTGAGGACGCTTTGAGTCCAAACACAACGCCTGCAGGGCGACTCAGGACGTCCCTTCCTGTCAACCATCACCTGTTGTCTGGAAGGAGTCAGCCAGAGTTCTAGAGAAATGTTGGCAGTAGATAAGAGACAAGAAGAAACATCTCTGCAGTTAGCCAGACGAAGACAAACGTATCCTGACGAAACATGACGTGTCCTGAAGTAGCTCCTATGTCCTGGATCTGGGAATGATCTCACTCCAAACCAAATCCCAAATGAAAATCCAAAACCAGAGGCATTTGGTAGCTATTACACTCAGTTACAAAGCTAACCACTGTTAGCATTACTATAAACCAGCAACAGTCTCCAGTCCATCATAGGACAACACAGAGACCAATTAACCTAACAGTCAAGTATTTGGACTGTGGGAGGAAGACGGAGTACCCTGTGAGAACCCACCATGCACAGGGAGATAGCTAGCTAAATATTTAGCTTCAAACATGATCTGTTGCTTTTTGGTGTCTGTTTGCCTACTTCAAGTTGTCAATCAGGTCCTGTTAAAATGATTTCTTTGGTCTCCATGTCTGGTAGTAAACAGAGCAGCTGAAATGTATTAAAATGTCCATTTAATCATGATTCAACACGGGAGAAAAGACTTTTTAACAAAGGCCAGGTGGGTCTGTCTGACCAATGTTTCTCTCTTAATTAACAACATGTTTCCAGGTGTGTATTTGTTGTGTTTCCAGGTGTGTGTTTGTTGTGTTTCCAGGTGTGTTTCCAGGTGTGTGTCCGGTGTGTTTCCAGGTGTGTGTCCGGTGTGTTTCCAGGTGTGTGTCTGGTGTGTTTCCAGGTGTGTGTCCAGTGTGTTTCCAGGTGTGTGTCCGGTGTGTTTCCAGGTGTGTGTTTGGTGTGTTTCCAGGTGTGTGTCCGGTGTGTTTCCAGGTGTGTGTCCGGTGTGTGTCCGGTGTGTTTCCAGGTGTGTGTTTGGTGTGTTTCCAGGTGTGTGTCAGGCGTACCATGCTGTAGAGTGGCGTGGTGTTGATCAAGAACTGCAGCAGGATCTTGGAGAGCTCCTGCAGGTCGTGGAGCAGCTGCTGGATCTGAACTGGCAGTTCTCGGACCTGTTGAATTGGGCTCAGCTCGGCCAACATGGCCGCTCGCTCCACCAGCTCCCTCAGTGTGGCCTCTCTCAGACTCTCTGCGCAGAACAACAGCGCCACCAGGAGGCTCTGGAAGTACTGCAGCAGCTCACCTATTAACTCCAGGACCCGAGTCAGACCCACCTGCAGGGACCAGATAAGTTCGAGGATTCACTCTGCTTTCTGTCCTAAGAGATGCCAAAATGCATTTTGGGAAATGTAGTTTAGTTAAATAAAAACCTTTATTTAACGGAACAAAAATATAATTTCTTTTAACTTATTTGGTAATAATTAAAAACAAAACTTGCTGAAAAGGTTGAACAGACCGATGATTTATGAAAAGTTGAGTTTACTAAAAATTAAAATAATTATACTTGGATTAAAAATCTGATATAATGAAGGTTTTATTATTTTATTGATCCTAAAACTGAGAGTTGATCAGAGGAGACGATGGAATCTATTTGTAAAGTGAGATAGTCAAAAATTAACGACATTAATTTGGGTTATTTAGTCATAAAAGAAAAACAGGGGCTTCATTTCTCAAAGTCATATTTTTATAACATTATTCATTTATAAATGCCTCAGCTTCAAACTAAATGTTTAGCTAGCAAGCTAAAGACTTTGCTTTGTGTTCTGTGAGTTTGCGTGCGAGCGCACAAACGTTCTTCATGTTTGCGTTGCAGAAAACACAAAGCTGAGCTCTGATTGGATTCATCAGACCCGTCAGCTATCTGGATCAGCTGTAAGCGCTTATTCCGATGACCCGTGCGGTTCTGATCTGAGGCCAGCTTCCCAGGAGGCACCGGAGGAGAAGACCTGGACCGGAACCAAGTCCCAGCTGGCAGCGGATCCCGACACGTGAGGACAGCAGAGGACGCCGCTCCGCAGGAGGGACGGGGACAACAATGGCTTCCTTCTGTCACAGAGATCCAGGAACGCTCCTGACATGAAGCATGATGGGAAATATTAACTCCACTCAGCTCTGAGGGTCACACAGAAAAACTAAATATACAGTCCTCTGATTAACACAGAGCCAGAGTGGAATGGGAAGGGTCAAAGGTCACCGCCACACCACCTGAAGTCCAACATCCTTCAGAGAGGAAAACACCTCAGCAGGTTCAGCCCAAGAATCTAAGAGCCTCAGATAGAAGGTCAAAGGTCATGAAGCTCATCCAGTATGGCTGCTTGGTTCTCTACAAACAAGATGGCCGCCAGACTGAGGTTAGCAATGCGGTACCTGGATGATGGACATCCAGGTGGACGATGTCTTCTGGACAGAGGAGAGCAGAGTGGACACAATGGACAGAACCAGACAGACATCAGGAGGTTCTGCAGGGTCACATGGGCTTTTGGAGCTGAAGGTTTTCTCTGTTGGTCGCCGGGTCGGTTCTGGGACACTCCCGGGCCTTCCTCAGGTATTTGGGTTGCAGCGAGGCAGCGGACCGGGACCTCCGACTTGCTGACACACAATCGGACCGCCACGTGATGAAACAAAGAGCTGGAGCACCATGTTGCCGTGGCGATTGGTCCTTGTTAGCAGAGCGGCGTCCTGCTGTTCTTCCTCTACAGAAACGTGAGCAGAACAATGCTCTGCTAACCGGGTCGATCTGGAGCCAAACCAGAACCACCTACAGAACCAGCGCTGTCTCGCTGATGAAGCTGATGTTCACGGCTGGAGGAACCGGTTTGATCCATCATGTGCTGTTTTTCTGACATCCTGTTGATCTCCAGCTGATAACCGGCTGATTTTGTTTTTATTGCGCCGTCTGATGCGAAAGCGAAGGAAATAAAATGAAAGAGTCGTTTCTTTTGTAACTGCTGTGTCTGAGCAGCTGACTCTCAGGCTGTTGGAAACTCTCGACCTTAAACAAACCCGCAGGATCGGCTCAAACCGGGTCTCCAAGCTGCAGTCGCATGATTTCAGGGCATCTCTTTTTCCCCTGCAGAGGGAAACCTACTCTGTGTCTTTATTCCTGACTCTGGATCCCGTTTGCAAATAAACTCACTCATCTGGACAGTCCAGGCTGTTTTCTCACCTGGTAGACTCGGTTCCACTGGGAACCCAAATGCCAGCATTTTCATTTTCAGAGGCTGCAGTTTGCTTTCAGTTGTCAGATGATCCAAACTAAATGAAAAACCTGTTCCCCTCCTGGCCTGTGGGGGCGCCACACCAAAAACTGAGGAAAATGACGTGAAAACCTCTGAAGACACTTAGAGCAACTTCCTACTTCACCAAATGGAAACTAAATGGAGGCGTCAGATTTTAGCGGTTGGAGGATTTCTCTTTAGTCTTTGGCTAAAGACTAGGAGCCATTTCTGCTGCTAGCGCTAGGCTAACACGTTAGCTTTGGTTGTATTTACCCAGAATGCCCTGCGCTGTAGTTCACTTCCTGCTTTTGAACCGGCCTCCAGTCCACTTGGCGTTCACATTCAAACCGAACCCCGACTGAGGTTTGGAGGACCAGAGGTCAGAGGTCGATAAGCATTCACACCTCACCAACCGAACTGGACTTTGACTAGACAGACGGACTGGAGTTGGATTAAATCGGACTGGACAGCACTGCTGTGAATGAACCCAAAGACTCGTGTCTGAATCCTTTCTGTTCGGCCTGAACGCCTTTTCTCTCATTCATCAACAGTAAAACGTTTGGCAAGCCACGGGACACCTCAGGGATGAGTGCTCAGTCCACTGCTGCTTGTGCTGTTCGCGTTGAAGAAAAGCCCGATTATTAAATTAGCTGATGGTGCCGTAGAGCTGGGACTGTACTGTACACGCAAAGTACCTTCAAAATACTCTCTGGACCCAAGGCGACCCAAAATATCACGTACAAACCGGATTCCAAAAAAGTTGGGACACTAAACAAATTGTGAATTAAAACTGAATGCAATGATGTGGAGATGGCAAATGCCAGTATTTTATTCGTAATGGAACATAGATGGCAGATCAAAAGTTTAATCTGAGTAAATGTAACATTTTAAAGGAAAAATATGTTGATTCAAAATTTCACAGTGTCTACGAATCCCCAAAAAGTTGGGACAAGTAGCAATAAGTGGCTGGAAAAAGGAAATTGAACAAATAAACAGCTGGAAGACCAATTAACACTAATTAGATCAATTGACAACATGATTGGGTATAAAAAGAGCTTGTTAGAGTGTCAGTGTCTCTGAAGCCAAGATGGTGAGAGGATCACCGATTCCACCATTGTTGCACAGACAGATAGTGCAGCAGTACCAGAATGGTGTTACCCAGCGTAAAATAGCAAAGACTTTTAAGTTATCATCATCAACCGTGCATAACATCATCAAAAGATTCAGAGGATCTGGAACAATCGCTGTTCGTAAGGGTCAAGGCCGTAAAACTACTGGATGCTCGTGATCTCCGGGCCCTTAAACGCCACTGCACCTCAAACAGGAATGTCAAGGAAACAACAGCCTGGGCTCAGGAATACTTCCAGAAAGCATCGTCAGTGAACACCATCCACCGTGCCATCCGCCGCTGCCAGCTGAAACTCTACAGAGCAAAGAGGAAGCCATTTCTAAGCTCCACAAGCTCAGCCGTTTGCACTGGGCCAGGAGTCATTTAACATGGAGGGAGGCAAAATGGACGACTGTTCTGTGGTCAGATGAGTCACGATTTAAAGTTCTTTATGGAAGACTGGGACGCCATGTCATCCGGACCAGCGAGGACAAGGATAACCCAAGCTGTTATCAACGCTCCGTTCAGAAGCTGCATCACTGATGGTATGGGGTTGCATGAGTGCTGCTGGCCTGGGCAGCTTGCATGTCTGGAAAGGCCCCATTAAAGCAGAGAGCCATGTTCAGGTTCTAGAACAACATATGCTCCCATCTAGACGTTATCTCTTTCAGGAAAGACCCTGCATTTTTCAACAACATAATGCCAGACCACATTCTGCAGCAATCACATCATGGTAGGAGAAGGATCCGGGTACTGAAATGTCCAGCCTGCAGTCCAGATCTTCACCTATAGAGAACATTTGGTGCATCATAAAGAGGAAGATGCCACAAAGAGGCCCAAGACGACTGAACAGTTAGAGGCCTGTATTAGACATGAATGGAGAGCATTCCTACTTCTAAACTTGAGACTCTGGTCTCCTCTGACCCCAGACGTCTGAGTGTTGAAAGAAGAAGGGCAGATGCCACACAGTGGGAAAAATGGCCTTGTCCAACTTTTTTGGAATCCGGTTTGTAGTAAAGACGCTCCTAAAAGTTTTTTTCAAAACAGTTACTCAAGTAAAGTGTAAGTAGATGGATGGAATAAAGCAGAAACAGAAGAAGGTTCCGGTTCTGGCTGATTTGGACCTTCTGGAGAATCTTTCTGGGACAGAACCAGAACATGTTGGGTTTTAGCTCCAGCATGGGAACAGATCCAGACTCGACATCTGTCTGCTGACCCCTGGATCTGCTCTCATGTAAAGCAGCAATGTGTGCCGTCCCAGCGGGCCGCACCGCCAGCTTCCTGCTGGCCGTTATCGCAGAGATCGGCTCGGACGCTGCGAGCGGCACGTAGGCAGAGCTGGGCACCGTCAGACCCGTTATCGGACCCGGCTGCTGTGCCTGCAGGCACCGTCTGAACGCGGCACTACGTGGAAAAATGAGCAGAACCAGCTGGTAGTCATCTGAGCTCAAAAATAAAACCCATCAGGATCCTCTGGCCTGTAAGAAAACATGTTTTATCACTTTAAATCCAGGCGTTTAGACATTTCTGAAGAACTTTTGGGGGAATTATGCAATATTTTTAGTTTTTTTTCCTCTGAATAAAAAAATTCTAAAAATATTTTTGCTAGAAAACAACTAAAATGTTTGTAAAAGTGCAGTGTCTTCATGTTTCTAAATTATTTGGACAAATGGTTTTTGGAGCAAAACTTTCTGAAATAATCATCGGAGCTGGATTTACTGGAGCCAGTTTTCCATCAAAGAAAAATATTCTACCAATGCAAATTACAATAATCCATATTTATTCCCAAACAACTGTACTATAACTTCATAATTTCAAATAATTTTTATTCATAAATATCACACAATATTCAATTGATAAAAGACTGATTCCACATAAAGTCCAATACAAAACACAATTATATATCAAAAAAGCTTCAGATGAAAAGCTGGATTTATTCAGATTATCTTGTCTCATCTGCTGCAGTTTGTTACTTTTTTGTTTTTTTTATTATTTTTGAAACATTTTTTGGTTGTTCTACATTTGTTCAGGAACATCAGCTTAATTATTTGAAAGGTTTTGATTCTGAAAAAAGGCCAAAGTATTTCATTTTTTCCTACCAACATTTAATGCAGCTCAGGCTGGAAGGATCAGAAGGATCAAAAGGATCAGAAGGGATAAACAGGATCAAAAGGATCAGAATGATCAAAAGGATCAGAAGGGATCAAAAGGATCAGAAGGGATCAACAGGATCAAAAGGATCAAAAGGATCAGAAAGATCAGAAAGACCAGAAGGGATCAGAAGGGATCAGAAGGATCAGAAGGATCAGAAGGGATCAGAAGGGATCAGAAGGATCAGAAGAATCCGTCCAGAACAGAGCCAACCCTGAAGTTCCTCCAGAGTCCTGAGACATTTCAGGACGTTCAGAAATACAAACATTTCTGCTGATCTCCAGGGACGAACCTTAAATCAGGCTGATGGTTCCAATCCCACCATCGATCTCACCTGCTTTATTCTGGGTTTCAGTCTGAGCTTTTAATGAGACGAAACATGAAATATCTCTGTGACGTTAAATGTAAGTTTAAATGTAGAAATAACAGCCGTTTGATGATTTTTCATGGCAGCCTCAGGATTTGGTCAAACGTTTCTTCCTAAAGCCGTTTATGGTGAAATGAGTCTGACTGGTTCTGATCCGGTCTGGTTTCTCTTCTAGATCCTCTCTGGACTTCACCTCCTCTGCAGACGGGTTTCGGTTTGGTTCTGGATGTTTTTAATTATTTTCTGGCCTCCAACATTGAAAGCATTAAAACCCAGAATGTATTTTCCTGCAGGAAAGGTTCTGGTTCTGGTTCTGACTGTTTGGATGTGTTTGTTCTGCCTCTCAGCCCATCAGTCGGTCCGACGTCCTCAGGGAGCGGCCGGGTCACGTCTCCCCGTCTGTTTGTTGCTACAGGGTGTGTGTGTGTGTGTGTGTGTGTGTGTCCTGAACTTCAGATCTTTATCTCTGGAGGACAGAACGGCTGCACAGAGCCTCGTCTTATCTGCAGCTTTCTGACCTCCTAAATATAGAAATATGAGCTGGGAACATAAACCAGATTCTTCTGAGATGATAAACTCAGACCGAAATATTTCCACGTTTTCTTTTAACATCTTCGTTAATTTTCTGCTCGTTGTTATTGCTAATTAAAAAAGGCTAAACAATGGGAAAAATTAACCTTATTATTAATGAATAATAATAATAATAATAATAATAATAATAATAAATAATGCAATAATTGTAATTATTATAGCCATTATAATTATTATTTTATTGTTAAAAATATTTATCATAGCCATAACAATACTAGAATCAGTATTATTATTTTATCAATTTTACAATTATAAAATAATTTATCAAAAATGAAATATTTATTGATTAATATCAATAGTAAGAAATTATTATTACCATTAATATCACTGTAAATATGTCGAATTTTGTTACTGTTAGTTAAAATATAGTCGATATTCTTACAATAACAGTAATTATTATTTTAGTAGATCAGTTTTAATAAAATGATTTTCTCATTTCTTTAACAGCAGCAGGAACGTGGCTGAAGTTTACGACTGGGAATGAACGCATCACCACAGATAAGCTGGAGTAGTTTTAGCTGAAACCGTCCAGAACCAGAACCAGAACCACTGGACTGAACCTGGACCAGAAATCACTAATGAAGCAACAGTGCCATCTAGTGGCAAGAAAAAGTTTGAAATCACTTTGATGTTTAATTTGATGTAAATATTTGTGTTTTTTGTTCTGAAATGAATGTTTCAGCTTTAAATGATGATTCCTGTGGAAGTCCTGCCTCACCTGCTCAGCGGCGCCCCCCAGTGTCCGGGCGGCTCCCTGCAGCTGCTCCCTGGCTTTCAGCATTCGGTGATACAGCTGCAGGCTGAGGGTCAGCAGCAGACTGCGGACTCTGGTCCAGAGGCCCGGCTCGTCTCCGTCATCCTCATCCTCGTACTGCTGGACCTTCATCTCCCACTCCCGGCCTGAAGGACGACAGAAACGCCAGAATTTCTCTACGGGTCCGCCCGGGTCCAACCGGAACCTGGGTGGACCCAAACACACTCTTCTTCCCCATGAAGGCCATCTCTGTAGCTGAGCTTTCTGTTTACCAGCTTCCTTCATTTGTTCAGCTTTAAAATTGGTCCATAGATGGTGGCGGCCATCTTTACTGCTGTAAGCAAAATGCTGCGGCGGCCATCTTTACTGCCATAAAAAGATCACATTTCTGATTTTCCATCTAATATAAAAAACACATAAAACAGAATCATTTGATCTCCATGGCAACCACTCAGCTGTAAAAAAACAAACAAACAAAAACGCCTGGGTGGACTTAGCCCCGCCTCCGAGAAGCAGCTCCTCCCCCACTTCGCTCCTTCAGACTAACCAGAAGCAATTAGCACCTGCTGAGCTCATTATAGGAGCTGCTGCTCCTGGAGGCGGAGCTTCAGAGGCAGCAGGAGTTTTTAAAGAGACAGAGGCCCAATTTCAAGGTGTTTAATCAACAGGGGGCAGCAGAAACTGTTTTTCACACAATAAAACTTGGAGTCGGATTCAGTAAAACTGTAAGTGGTTTTAGTTGTTGGTACTCACGCAGCGTAGGAGGGAGGGGTAAGTAGTAGGCGGCTGAGTCCTCCAGGAGACTCAGGACGTTGTCCAGCCCCGCCGTGGCCGCCTGCCCCACCTGCGTTTCCTGCAGCTGCCGTCCGGCCGTCCGGATCGAGTCAGAGGCTCGCTCCAGCTGGTCCAGAGCTCCGTCCAGGCTGTCCACCACCCACACCTGGACATCATCCAGAGTCAAAAAGAAGGCGTCCTTCAAGTGAGTCATCACCTGAGGACGGAGACAGTAATTTTAAGTCAGGGACAGCTGCTGATCCGCAGCTAAGATTGGAGCTATTTCTTTGGTTTGTGCTTTAGCACTTTTGCTAACTTTGAAAACATTTAGTTATCAAAAGTCATTCCAAAGAATCACTTCCTGAAAGCCAAACAGCAAAGCAAGATGTGTAATAACACATGTGGCCCTGTGGAGGGCGATATAACGCATATTGTGTCATTGACATCCAACAGGTATCAGTATGGTAAAATTAGCGTTTTAGCATTAGTTTCCACTAATCACTATGTCAATGTAGCATTTTAGTGTTAATGTTTGCTAATTACTCTGTTAATCTAGTTAGCTTCCTCATATTACTGTCTTAATGCATCACTTTAGCATTAGCTTCTGCTACCTACTATGTTGGTGCATAGCTATAGCATTAATGGGACTATGTTTGTTGTTAGCCCTTTAGGATTAGCACAGCTAACGTTTTAGCTTGCTGTCTTTTTGCTCATTTCTTATTTAGCTCTGATCTCAGCAGCATCTCCGGCTCTGGGGCATTTCAGATGTTACTGCCTGACCCGTGTTGGTTTAAACCAACAGCAGCAGTGTGAGTTTTATGAAGGCTCGCTCTGCTCCTGATCTCCAGCAGGTTCTGGAGAACTCACCTCCTCTGTGGACTGGTTCAGGATGGGAAACGTCCTCTCCAGACTGTCCAGACCAGTCAGAGCCAACCTGTTGGCGAGGTCGACTGGAGAAGACACGATTACAGTCAGAGAAACCAGTTCATGGGCTTCATGCGTCCAAACAGAACCAACAGAACCGGGCTCACTCTGTGGCTCCAGACTCTGGAGGAGGGGCGTGGCCCGTCTCAGGGCTTCCTCAGACACGCCGCGAACTCCGACCTCTGCCACGCCCCCCACAAGGCCCAGCAGGGGGTAGCGCTCTTTGACCCCGGAGAGGAGGGAAGACACGGACTGGAAGACGGACCGGACCAGAGGCAGATGGGAGGCTCTGAGCAGGGCACTGGCCTGAAACGGGTCAGAGAGCCGTGACAGCAAGAACCAGAACCAGAGGTACAGAACTGGAACCAGAACCACGGGTTCCTCAGACACGCCATCCATCCATCCATCCATCCATCCATCCATCCATCATCCATCCATCCATCCATCATCCATCCATCCATCTGAACTAACCTTGTGATCTGGACTGTCTGCCATTTCTTCCTCGGCTGCTCTGAAGAGAAACAAAATGGACGTCACAGATCTTCATCTTCACCAGAACCAGCCAGGACGGCCAGAACTAGCAGAACTAATGAGAGGACTTCAGAGGCCTTCATGACTCCAGAACCAGAACCAGATTAAATCACCTCATAAAGATTCATCAACATTTCCTGAACAAAGTTTGTGTTATTGTGAACCTGGAAAAACCAAAATGTCCAAAACTGACTCAAATTTCAATGTTTATATTTTTTAATCCGACCGAAAGAAAAACTGATCAAATTATATTAGTTGGAAAAGGAGAAATGTGATCTGATCAATTAGTGAACCAAGATTCTCTAAAATCCTCCGAAGACGAAGAATCTAGACTTTCTTACAATGTTGCTGTTACAATGACTGAGGCCACACCCAAAGATAAACTGGACACAATCAGACCCAGATGTTGTTTTTAAATCTGGATTAAATGATTTCTGATAAAACCAAACGTCCAGTTTACCTGAGGAGCTTTTAGTTGTTTTTTACCAGACTCTGATCCTTCATGCATCAGAGCCGTTTCAAACTTCACACACAACTTATTCAAGTTTTAAACTAACTTTCCTCTGTCCCTGAATATTCAAAATGCTTCCTGAGTTTAAGTCTCCCTGAGGTAAACTGAAGAATTCAGCTTTATATTCTACGATTTAAATTTCAATTTGCAGAATCTGAGCCGGTTTGGGACACTGGGTAATAAGCGAAACATCAAGTCCTGTTTCCAAAATGAATCCATAAAGCTGCAGCAGAGAAGGAAAGCAGAAGCACAAACCGAATCCTTTCTGGTGTGAAATACTTCACCTGAAACTTCCTGCAGCTCTTCAGGTGAATCTGCACCGCTCGACGCTCCAGCTGTGGAGGTAAACTTTAAAAAACGAGGACAGAGCCGATAAAAGCTGCTTCTACCAGGTGAGCCCAGTGGGAATAACGATGGCCAGGATGATGGAAGAAGATTAAAAAAATCCATCTGGGTTTAGGGGGAAGATATCAGCGTCCTGATTGGCCGGGGCGCCGTGTGATGTCAGCTTCCTGTTTCTCTGACAAATCAATTAACCTCGAATGAAAGGAAACATTCAGGAGGAAAGAGCTGGAAACTCCAGGGAGCCGTTCATAAAGTTACACAATATTAGCAATAATATGGATTATTTAGCTGGTAGTGACAGAAAAAATGGAGGTTCATTTTTCAGTCATATTTTCAACATTTTATTAAGTAATTTATAAAAGTCTATAAAGTAACAGTTTTAAAATAAATATTTTGTAAGCCAGCTAAATGTTTATTTTTAAAGCAAATCTTTAGTTTCAAACTAGAAATTTAAATGTTTAGATAGAAGCTAAATATTTAGCTTACTGACTAAATGCCCATCGCCAAACTAAATATTTAGGTAAAAGTTAAATATTTAGTTTAAAGCTAAATATTTATCTAAATAACTGTCTTAGAACTAAATGTTTATCTCAAAGCTAAATAATGAGCTTGCTAACTAAACATTTTATTAGCCATATTTAGCTCTAATATGTGTTAAATGGGTCTCAGTACTGAACCCTGAGGGACTCCATGGATCAAGGATTTTGGACATTATAAATAAACATGGAGAAGTTCTGTTGCTCCTCTCACCTGCCTGTTCAAATCTGAAACTGGAGCCAGTAAACCAAACGCACCGTCCTGACCAGAGTCTGCAGCTCATCACCAGACCTTTACCAAGTCGGTTTCTGAAACCCAACCAGGAGATCATCACTTTCCTGGAAACCAGTCGGCTGCTCGGCCTCCAACTTCACCACAATCTCAGCGAGAAACGGACGTTTTGATTTTGGCCAATTACTGAAACTGGGGTCAAAATTAGGCTTTTAGCTTCAAACAGAACATAAACTGTCAGGTTTAAACAGCGTTGACTTGACCCAGTAAAAACAGATTTACCAACAATATCAAAACTAAAACAGCTGGCGCCATGTTTGACTGGTTGGAGTCTTTGGGTAGAACAACAACGCTGTATTTGTACATTCCTGTATTTTGATGGTTCATAATGACGATCATCTGGTTCTGACACCCAAGAACTCTGAAGAACTTTTTCAAAATCTCATTACAGTTGAACACAAAGATTTTATTTCCTTTCTGTTCCTTTTAACAGAGACGTTTCCTGACTCGCTGGTGCTGGAGGTTTCAATACTTCAGTTTCAGGTTCAAAACTTACAGGTTACAGTAAATTACTTTTGTTTAATGGCCAAAGATTACTGTAAATATTTCACCAAATGTTTGCACAATAGTTAGAGTTCATATGTGAAACCCTGTTTCTCTTGAGGTTTTCAGGATTTCCTTGGTGTTCATTTCCCAGCAGTTTGACGGTTCAGAGAGCGAAGGGCGCAGGTGGAGCAAACGGCGGATTTTCCTTGAGTCCAACCTGGAGATCCTCTGATCATAATCAGGCTGTGAAGAATGATGAGGAAACCCAGTTTATGACTTTAATCACAAGGTTGATGAGTTCTCCAAAACATGACACTTCTTTGGGTAGGAATGACCTTCGGTAATGAGCTTGAAATGCCAAGTTCCCCCAACATACCACAAGGGATTGTTCATTTCCTTCATGTTAGCAAACAGACAAGGACTGGATGGCTGAAGTCTCATGTACCCTCAGATATCCTCCTAGGGGTGAAGCGCTGCTTCAACGTTTCACTGGCAGAAGAAAAAACACTTTGTTTCTCTAGAAACAGCCCACAGAAACTCCAGTAACCAGGCGTCATTCAATCCTCCGGCCCCCAGCTATCGAGACTGGAGCTATTTAACCTGCTAATTAAATGTTTAGTTAGCATGCTAAATATATTGCTCCATTCTAAATATTAACAAGCTAAAGTTAGTAAGCTAACTGTTTAGCTTCAAACAAAATATTTAACCCAAGCTTTAGCTTGTTGATAAATATTGGGGTAATATGCAAATTCACTGGCTGATAAGCAGATGTGAACTATCAAAATAAAAGTTTGTTTTAAATAAATATTTAGTTAGCTTGATAACTAAACATTTCGTTTCAAACTAAATATGTAGTTAGCAAATTGAATATTTAGTAAATATTTAGCATGCTAACTAAATATTTTGTTTCAAATTATATAGTTAGCAAGGTTAATATTTAGTTTGAAGCTAAATATTGACCTTGCTAACTAAATATCTTGATAGCTAGCTAAATATAATTTGAAAATAAATATTAACTTAGCTAAATATTTAGCTAATATGCAAATTTACTTCCTAATAACCGGAAGTGAACTATCAAAATAAAAGTTTGGTCTTCCTGCTGGTGAGACTGAGTGGTTTCCTGGCGTGTTTTTATCGTTTCTTTCCCTGTTTTCCTGTCCAGCATTTCAGCTTAACCCAGGTCGAGCCGTTTTAAAGGCAACCCAGACATTGATCAACGGATCTGCAGCGACATGAAGGATTCAGCACAGTGATTCTTGAGAATAGGGACAAAACAGGTCCTATGGATAAAGCACAAAATTTGAATAAAATATAC